ATCGGGCCAGTTCGCTGGCCACAGAGGGTGTCATAGCGAATGGTCGTTCTGGTCATTATGGCATCCCAGTCGCTGGCTTTTTATATATATAGATACCACATTTTCTTTATCCCTTTATCAGCCAAGGGACTTTTTTTTTGTTTCCACTTCTTGGCTGTAATGAATAGTCCATCAGCCCTTCCTGAACAGAGACTGTGGCTGGCTGTTAGCCCTCCAACCCTTTCTAAGAGTGTCCCTGTTGAGTCTTAAGTGTTCCAAATAGTCCTAGCCAGGGAAGTTTCCTTCCATGATTCAAAGGTGATTTCTGACCTGTTTGTCATTAGTAAGCACTTCTGAATATCTAACAAGCAAAAAATTCGAAGCCCTGGGGATACAGTGCTGAAAGGCAATATCCCAGCTTTACTGGAATTTACATTCTAGTGGTGTGTACATTTTTTTTCTTTCTTTTTTTTGTCTTAGAGAAAAACAAATGCAATCCTTGAGTGGGTACCCCATAACATACATTAATGAACTTTTAAAAAAATATTTTTTATTGATTTTAGAGTGGAAAGGAGAGAGAGATAGAAACATCAATGATGAGAGAGAATCATTGATTGGCTGCCTCCTGCATGCCCCACACTTGGAATCGAGCCTGAAACCTGAGCACGTGCTCTGACCAGGAATCAAACTGTGACCTCCTGTTCATAGGTTGATGCTCAACCACTGAGCCACACTAGCTGGGCCATTAATGGACTTTTAAAAATGATGTCCCAAGAAAGGAATTGACTAGTTTAGTTATACTAATCCCAATGCCTCTTTACGGTGATTTAGTTTCTGACATTTTGATTTTTTAGTTAATTTTCTCTTGTATTTTTGTATTTACAAGATGTCATACAATTCACAGAAATCTTTAAGAGTTTCACATTTTTGGAGCCTTATTCTGAGTCTAGTGTGGTCTCCGTTAAAAGAAAAGTGGTCCTTTCTTTAAAAAAAAAAACCCACAGTTCTCACATCTGTAATCAAATATGTCCCCAAGTAATCCAATAAAAATTAAATTAAAAGGCAAAGGATTCATTCAACAGATATTGACTGAGCTTCATGGTGTGCAAATACTAAGATTTTGAAAAGGCATAGTCTTGCCCTCCAAGGTTTATAATCTAGTGAGAGCTCAAATAAGCCTGTAAATGATAGCAGTATAAAGCTAAGAGGAGCACATGGAAAATGCTATCAAACCTCTGATTGACGAGCATGAGTTTTCATGGAGAAGGTGATATCTGAGTAAGGGATAGGAAGGCCAAGGGACAACGCTGGTCATATTAGGGGATTAGCAACAGGGCTTGAGCTCAGGGTAGTTTAGAGGAGCAGTGGTAGATAGGCTGGATAGCCAGGTTGGTGCAGCAAAAATATTTCTAAACCATGAGGAGAAATTTGGATTTAACTGCATCTGATATATTTGCTATTTACAGGGTGTCCCCAAAAAATGTACACACACTTTGAATTAATTCCAATGGGTTAAATCTCAAAAGAAACATCAATTGAGCTATCAGCTGTTAAAATGTATGCTGCCTCCATTCCTGGCTAGAGATTCATAGGAGAGCCGCAAGCCTCGCTTCCCTGGAACAGCTCTTAAGGAGGTGGAAGCCAAGGTACAGAGTGCAGGGAGGTACAGAGAAACAGAAAAATGAAGTCCACCTGGCATTCTGCCTCCCCAGAAAGAAAGAAAAAGTTGATCTTTCATGGAGATGGGCAGCCCCATGGAGAACACTTGGGTCACCTCATCTGATTGAAAATGCTCAGGCTGGCGTTCTGCCTCCCCAGAAAGAAAGAAAGTTGATCTTTCATGGAGATGGGCAGCCCCATGGGGAACACTTGGGTCACCTCATCTGATTGAAAATGCTCAGGGTTCCAGGTCCTTTGCTTTCACTTAGGTCATATAAAGGGGAAATGATGTACATGGGCCCCACGCTCTCTCAGGCAGGGCGTGTACTGTTCTTCAAGAAAAGACTAAAGCCTAAGACAGATATTTCTAAATTGTAATAATGAAAACTTCCCGATTTTTACAAACTACTGGCAATTTAATTTTGTCCCCATGGAAAGTAATATTTATTGAGCACTTATTGTATACTTACCAGGCACTGTTCTACGTACATTACGTGCAGGGTGCCTCTAATCTTTACAGGTGGGCAGAGAGTGTCATTGATCCCTCTTTCCTCAGAAGAGAAAACTGAAGCCCAGAGTAGTAGTTTATTGAGATTGCACAGCCTGTGAGAGAGCAGGCAGACGTCGAACCCAGCTGTGGCCCTCTGTGCATCACAATACTGTATTACCTTTTCCCGTTTGGAATTGCATACAGGCCAGAGCCAGACCTTGTTAATTATTTATGAATTCCTGAATTTATACTGAAAGTTGAGCCCATGGATTGAGGAGGGTGATCGGGGCTCCTTTTGAAATGTGCCATCTTTTTCTAGCAGATTCTGAACATAAACTCGAGTCAAGTTCAGGAAGAGTGCTGGGAAAACTTAGAGGTATGCCCGTGACCTTTTAAAATCCTTCACGTTTGGTTCAAAGTCAGCAAGCTCATGTCTTTTAAAGAGCAAGGAGATAATTTGTATTTCCTCTCTGGAAATGAAACCCCTGTGCAGCATGGCATCCCCCAGCATCGAACCGGAATGCAAACGATAAACCAGTGTGTGGCTCTGGCAGTGAATTTCCCAGTCTCCTTTTCCACCTTGCCATTCTGTATTATCTAATGATCCCTTGCCTTTTATCAGACTTCGTCTTCAGTAAATTTTCTATCACTCCTGTGGGCACGTCAGTGCCTGTCATCTGAAGATGACCTTTTCATAAGCTCACTGAGATGGAGAGCTGCTTGTGGGATGCCAGTTCCCCAGAGCCTAGAAAGTGCAGGAGGTGAAAAGTGAATCTGAAACAATCCTGCAGAAACACATGCCCGCGGGGAGCTTTGTTTTTTCCTTCTGTATTTCAATAAATGTGTGTAGTACCCATCTGACTTTGTAGGATACGTGTCTCTGTATGTCAATCTTTTTTTGTTTCTCTTTTGCTGATATCTACCCTTCCCCATCCCCAACTTCCAACTGTACCATGTAAGACTACACAAAGAAACTGAGAGTCATTTGTGTGACCTCCATCTTAATTCTATGTTATTTGCTTTCTTCAGGGAAGGGAAGTGGAGGCTTAAACCTTGGAAATTTCTTTGCGAGCCGTAAAGGCTACAGTCGCAAAGGGTTTGACCGCCTAAGCACCGAGGGCAGTGACCAAGAGAAAGATGAAGATGACGGGAGTGAATCGGAAGAGGAGTATTCGGCACCGCTGCCCCCACCCGCCCCTCCCTCCTCCTGAGCGCCCAGCTTTGGTCTGGTTGAGGAGGTGTACCAAGAATGCCCGATTCTTTTCCCTTTCGCACGTTAAAGTTTTGTGTGTTTAATTGTAAACTGTACAAGTCTGTGTGGGACTGTACACATTTTATTTACTTCATTTGGGTTTAGTTGGCCTCTAGTTGAGGAGTTTCCTACAAGTACATAACAGTGCCATGGTCTTTATATATGGGCATAGACTAGAGAAACAGTCCTCTTCTTCCATCACACTACTAATTTATGATGGAAGGCTTGCTCATTTACATTTCTGAGACTTTTCTGTAGATGTAAATAAGCCCACTCTGCTTGAACACAGTATTTTCCCAATAGCGCTTCCATTGCCAATGTCTTTCTTTGGTGCCTTTCCTGTTCAGCATTCTCAGCCTGATGACAAAGCTGCTAAATCTCCTATTTTTTTAAAATCACTAGCATTATATTGCAACAAGGGAAAGAAAAAAGTCTCTATTTAAATTCTTTTTTTAAATTTTCTTCTTCAGTTGGTGTGTTTTTGGGATGTCTTATTTTTAGATGGTTCCACTGTTAGAACACTATTTTCAGAATCTGAATGTAACTTGTGTAATAAAGTGTTTTCAGAGCATTAGCTGTCAAGAGTGTATTTTGCAATGTTTGCATATTTCAGAGTTTTATATACAACTTTTGTATAAATTACACAAGCCACAGATATCGTGAAACCTTCTCAGTGTCTTCAGCCAAAAGAAATGTTGTATTAAAATTAAAAAGATATTTTGTTATGTAGCCAATATAAACTAAAAACCAGCCTAACCGTTTACATACATGTGGAAAACCAGGCTCTCTTTTAAAATTCAAAGAGAGCTTTTGCCTGTTTACCAATCAGAAAGTCAATACTTTAATAAAAGGTGATCAGCGCTAAGAGGAAAACTGCATCTCAAATTACATAGGCACGTGAATCCATCAGTGTAGGTTACAAATAGTTTTCTTTAAAAAAAAATTTACTCAAATTCCCATGTATTCATAGTAATATTCCTCTGTTAAAGTGACTACAAATTAATTTTAAAAACATGTTTTTCATGTTCCAACAATGCAGTTTAGTAAGAAGCTGATGATTGTTCTTTTCAGAATAATCAGACTCTTGAACTTGTTAATTCAGGCATTATAGTAGTTGGGATATTAGTGATTTAATTGACTAGACAGTGATTTTCAACCGTTTTCATCTTACAGCACACATAAGTTAATTACTAAAATTATGTGGCATATCAAGAAATATACGTTTTGCCCATCTGACAAAAAGGTAGGTATAATTTTTATTCATTCACACCAGACAGCTATTGTGTTGGCTATCATCAGTTTTTTATTTGGCAATCAGAGGGAAAAGAGCTCAGTGCCCCTGAGTCAGGAGTCCGGTATTGCATGTTTTAAAAATGCTTGCGGCACACCTGTGGCACACTGGTTGAAAATTGCTGGACTAGACTAATCATGAAGACAATTCACACTACTTTGTAAAATATGTAATAACTCTCACCTATATTCTATAGAAAATCTAACTTAACATAGATTTATTTTTCTTCATAATTGACACCAAAGAGGATCTGATTGAAATTATCACTTGCCAAATGTTTACTTCCCCTTATTAAAATTTATCTTGGGTGCCTTCCCCAAGTAGACACTTCCTTTTTTTTTAATTCCTGTGATCTTCCTTCTCAAAAGAACACATTTGTCCTCGCTGACCGCTCATTTATGCCCTTCACCACATCAGTAGTAATTACAGTGATGAATTTCTAATTCTGTCCTTTCGCCTTCATTAGCGGGCATTCTTCTGTGAAAGCCTGAGAGTCTTGCCGACTCTCAGCCCAAGCAGCATCTACTCAACAGCATAGAATGTTCCCCTCATTTTATTTGCAGCATGCTCCCCAAACTCATGGAACAAATATGGTCAAATACCGTTTATTTTCCCAGCTAATTGCTCAAGTCTTTACCTTTCTTATTGGCAGAAAGTCCATTACCAGCCTTTCAATGGTGGGCTTCTCCACCTTTCCTTCTCTTGGAGTTGCCAAAAAAATTCCAGATCACAGAAGGTGAATGTGGGGCATGGAATCAGCAGGTTTGCAGACACCACAAACGCGTATTCTAGTTCAGTCTGTCCACACGGCAGTTGCACTTGCTGCCTCTCTATATCACTGTTGAAGATTGTTCTGGAAACTACCCCAAGAAAGTTGTTGCTCCCCTGCTGCCTGGAGAGTGCCTCAGTCCAGATCGCCCTCCCAGAGCCCTGTCCTTGGCCTCTGAGGGCCAAAGTGTTTAGTGCTGGGCACATAGGTCACACACAGCCACCTTCTTGAGGGCTGATGGGCCCAGGAGTGCTGGGTCAGGGCTGATTCCCATACCTGTGCCTAACCTCAAATAGCTCACTATCTAGAGGAGAAAGAAAGCATAAATTCATTGTGTTAAGTTCAGTATTAGAAGCAGAGCCAGGCACCTGACAAAGTTTGGATGAAGGATCATTGAAGGTAAATGTTAAAGTCCAAGGAGGCATTAGATAGAAAAAAATTAAATAGAAGTTGTTGGAACAGGAAATTTCTCTTTGCATAGCTCTCTAATAGTTAGCTTTTTTAATCACCAAAGCCTTTCTGAAAACCAAATATTGCATAGTTTTCTCAATACGTGGTATATCTATATATCTATATCTATATATCTACTACGGGCCCCATGCACAAATTCGTGTACCTTGAACGGAACTGTGGGCCGTGAAGCCGCAGTGGGCACAGGGGCGGGTCTCAGCTCATCCTCCGCACCCCTGCCCGACCCCTCCCACCACGGCACACATCTGCTGATGGCGCGGAATGATTGGGGCCAGTGCCAGCAGCGGGTGTGAGTGGGGCTGTTGCCAGCAGCGGGTGGGAGCGGTGGCTGCTGGCCCCAATAGCCCCTCAGGAGCAGGGGAAAGTGGAGAAGCCCTGAGGAGCAATCAGGGCCAGCAGCCGCCACTCACACCACTGATGGTGCTGAGCAATCGGGACCAGCACCAGGCGCTGGCAGCGGGTGTGAGCAGGGCCAGTGCTGGCAGCAGGTGCAAGCACCCAGCAGGACCATGGCGCGTGGGAGCAAAGAATTTTCAGTAACCACTAGAGGCTCGCCCCGATGACAGTGACCGGAGCCCCACCTAGGTCTGGTGCCCTGACTCACCTGCTCCACCATCCCGCCGTGGCCAATGTCCACCATATTCCGTGCAACCCCCTAGTGGTCAGCGAACATCATAGTGACTGGTTGTTTGGTTGTTCCGCCATTTGGTCTATTTGCATATTAATGGCTGGCTGTTAGCCCTCCAACCCTTTCTAAGAGTGTCCCTGTTGAGTCTTAAGTGTTCCAAATAGTCCTAGCCAGGGAAGTTTCCTTCCATGATTCAAAGGTGATTTCTGACCTGTTTGTCATTAGTAAGCACTTCTGAATATCTAACAAGCAAAAAATTCGAAGCCCTGGGGATACAGTGCTGAAAGGCAATATCCCAGCTTTACTGGAATTTACATTCTAGTGGTGTGTACATTTTTTTTCTTTCTTTTTTTTGTCTTAGAGAAAAACAAATGCAATCCCTGAGTGGGTACCCCATAACATACATGAATGAACTTTTAAAAAAATATTTTTTATTGATTTTAGAGTGGAAAGGAGAGAGAGATAGAAACATCAATGATGAGAGAGATACATAGATATATAGGGGTTGGCAAGAGTATGGTTATAGTTGTAATACAAATAAAATAATACAGTAATTAATAAATAATAGAAGAATAAACTGTTTCGTGTATTCACAACTGTAAATCTACTTTTGCCTAGTAAAAGTTTTAAAAAGTCCTTTATCGAACAAGACAAAGAAAATAAATTATACTTTTAATATATGGAGTAACTTAAAGTAGTCCAAATTGTTAGAAAATAGGGTATTATTCTTTAGATATATTAGATTAAAGACCTTTATCAGATATTTGATTTTCAAATGTTTTACCCCAGCATGTGGGTTATCTTTTGATTCTCTCAACCTTATTTTTCAAAGGAAAGTTTTTCATTTTTGATGAAGTAAGTTTATTCTATTTACCAACAGCCATAAGATTCACAGAAATCTTTAAGAATTTCAGTGAGGCCCTGAACTTTCTGTTGCAATTTATAACAGAGGTAAACACCAAGGAGACTTCATTACCCAGAAGCCTGCTTACTTCTCAGGATCATCACACCCCTAACAAACCCCCCACCACCTGCACTCCAAGAAGAACACATATTAAATTTCCTTCTGAAATGGCCATGCCCTTACTGCCCTCCTTGCTTCTAAACATGTTTCCAGCTGCCTAGACAGAATTCCCCAATCAAAACACTAATCTCATTGAGTTGTATTTGTGTAAAATGAAAGAGAGAGAGAGAGAGAGAGAGAGAGGAGAGAGAGGAGAGAGAGATTTATTGGCTCACTTACTCATAAAAATTCTAGAGTAAAGAGGAGCAAGGGACACAAAAAATAATGTCAGCTCTCTCCCTCTCCCAAAGACATTTTCCTCCATGTTGGTTTCATTCTCTAAAATGTTCTATGTGATATGAAAGATGCCTCTGGTAGGTGTCTGCAAATTTGGGATTCCCCTACTTCTCTACACATCTATATCAAACCCCCCAAAGGATTCAGACACACAGGAACAACTGTTTTCTTTTTCAGAAATGACAGTGGATTTGCAAAGACTTACCCACTAGCCCATCTTGCAGTTCACTCTCTCAGTAGTGAGGTAAGTTTTCCTTGGACCTTCTAAGAAAAATTTCCCTCACAGGCATCACATGGTCATTTCTGAACTAATCCTTAGTGACAGGAATGGGATTATTTTAGACTACTCAGATCTATGCAGGAAGTTTGGGTGGGATTAAGTTTTCCTCAATTTCATGACTCCACAAGAGAAGTGCTTGACTTGTAAACAAAATTTGGATAGGAAGGACAGATAGAAGAAAATGGTTGCTGAGTAGGCAACCAGCAATCCACTACAGACTGGCTACTGTCCCTGTTTAGAGAATAAAATTCATTTATCAATAGATACCTGCTAAGCTCCCAAACCTCAAATAGCTCACTATCTAGAGGAGAAAGAAAGCATAAATTCATTGTGTTAAGTTCAGTATTAGAAGCAGAGCCAGGCACCTGACAAAGTTTGGATGAAGGATCATTGAAGGTAAATGTTAAAGTCCAAGGAGGCATTAGATAGAAAAAAATTAAATAGAAGTTGTTGGAACAGGAAATTTCTCTTTGCATAGCTCTCTAATAGTTAGCTTTTTTAATCACCAAAGCCTTTCTGAAAACCAAATATTGCATAGTTTTCTCAATACGTGGTTGATACTCTTCCAATAAGAATATAATTCCAGAGTAACAACACGAATCTAATAAAAGTTCCAAAAAGCAAAGGTTCTGTGTGACAGTTGAAAGTATACTCTGAAACAAAGGCTGAATATATCGCATTAGTACCTTAGTTACTGGGCTAACAAAAGCCTGAATTCCAGATCCAAGTTTAGAAAGCATTTTAGTGTTACTTTCACATTTGCATATGTAAATATTTAAACTTTCTTTTCCGTAAAATACTGTTTCATTATTTAGATAGAATACCTATGTGCAGT